CATCACAAGTTGGTGCATAACTATACACTGACCAATCAAGAAGCATGAACAAAAGATACTCACTTAAGGATAGGAACCCGAAGCTGCTTCAGAAGACAACATTTTACTCTTTGAAGGATGGTGTCTGCAAGTCCAGGCTTGGAAGTCCTGAACATTTTCATTCAAGCTTTTCAAGAGATATGTGCCCAACCACCATGTACCTCTAACAGTCACTAATCAACACAAAACACTAATATTTACCAGGTAACTCTTCAGCTGCATACAAGCCTCAACTTACTACAAATACGTAGCAAAAGCAGTGTATGGTTTACAAGATGTATATGAATCCAGTAGCTAATAAGCATTCTGTTGCCAACAGGGTATTAATTTATTTCCAGTGTTATTAAACCTTTAGAAAAAAAGATACAAAATCTGTAAAGTACTTGGCTGGACCTGTACAGACTGTTTTCATCAAGCATATATGCAAGAGCATGTTAACGCCACAGTTGTGCAACTAACTACACCATGACACTGGACAAAGAGTGGTCATCAGAGCCCTGAGAGGACACGGCTGTGCAGGGGTCGGCAAACAGCAGCAGTGAAGCTGAATGAAAATTGCCATGTAAACGCCACAAGCATTTTGCTCTTCAGAGCACCTCTTTAGTTCAACTTGAAGAGTTCTAATCCACAACCTCAAAATTCACTCATTTCCCAGTAAGAGAACAGCTGGTACTGTACGTTATCAAACAAGTATTTTAAAACAGTATCTGCTGGGAAAAAGGTGTTGGAATTTGAGTTCCCACTGTAATTTTTCGAGGCTTTAACTCAAAGTCAGTTTAATTAACGTGCAACAAGTGTCTGGATGAGAATATAAATGTAACTTTTTCCCAGGTCTCTGTTAAACATCTCAAAAGGGGATGTGACCGGGGATTAACAGCACTAGTAATAAAAATTCCTGTTGGTGTGCACACAAAATCAGAAAATAGCAAGATTTATATTTAAGCAAAAATTAGTCTTACTTCCATACCATTTCATTATTTTTTAATCAGCAGAGAATAAGTAAGTGAAACGAACTGGGGGCATGGCAAACCTACAAGAAAATGCGAGAAGATCTTTTTCTCACAATGCGAGCAGGGCACAGGCAAGTAACTCACATACTGAACTGAAACAGTCATCTATAAGAAAAATGTAAACAAGCAACGTTTACCGATCTGGAGAAGATGCAATTTTGATAAAGATCTGAATGTACTTTGAAGGCTCAGCTGAACGCAGGCTTGAAGTGCAAAAGTACTACCAATGTGCTAAACTTGGCCTTTGGATACATAAATGTCAAAATACACTGGAAAACCTACTTAGAGGCAACATAGCTAACTTGTAAAAAAGAACTGGTAATTTGCAGAGAAGGAAAATACAGGAAGCTTTTATCATCACCTAAGTATCTATTAATATAGGAATCAAAGCTCTTCAAAATAAAATCCAGCAGCTAGAAAGGGAAGCTAGACAAACCCAGACTAGGAAGGTACAAAAAGTTTAACAGGGAGGTGAACTAAACACTGGGATGAGCAATCCATAGAATTTACCGAGGGCTAAGATGAAATCTTTATCATTGTAACAACCTAATATACAGTTGGCAATTCTACTAAAATCACTTCCTATCTCAAAAGGCAATGTAAGAAGCTCAAGACAGTCATGCTGATCACAACGGATTCCTTCTGGCCTTACTGGAGGATTATTTTTTTGGACTGTCACAGACGTATGCTGTAAGAAACATTCTGCTTTTAATAAAGCAAACAGTTATTTGCTCGGAACACTAAAATAATAGTTGATTTCTTTTCCACTTAAAATACAAATAACCTCTCATAGCTGGTATATATAAACAGCTGGCAACAGGCAGCAACTAAGCACCACACAGTCACTCCCTCACTCCACCTTCCCCCAACAGGATGGCAGGAAGGGAACTGGAAGGCTAAGAATCATGGGTTGAGATAAGAACAGTTTAAATATTGAAATAAAATAGCAGAGTAGTAGTACAAATTGTAATGAAAGGGAAAACAAGAGAGAAATAAACCCCAGGAAATAGAAATAATGTAAATGGAAACAATTGCTCATCACCAAACGACAGATTCCTGGCCAGTCCCCGAGCAGTGGCCCCCAAGCAGCGGCCCCCCAGCAAATCTTCCCCCTAGTTTACTGGTGAGCATGATGTCATACGGTATGGGATATCCTCTGGTCAGCTGGGGTCAGCTGTTCCAGCTGTGTCCCCTCCCAACTTCTCGTGCACCCCAAGCCTCCTCGCTGGTGGGGTAGTGTGAGGTGCAGAAAACGCCCTGACTTTGTGCAAGCGCTGCTCAGCAGTAACGACAACACCCTTGTCTTAACACTGTTTCACAGACACCTACCAACTACCTATCCCAGCCACAACCAGCACACAAACACAAACCATAACACTGCAGGGAAAAAAAAAAAACCCTGCATTTCTGAGCAGGTTTAAAGGCTCAATCCCCTCCCTCACATTTCCAAAACTAAAAATTGCTCTTGGGGGCAGGAATCCCACGCCAGATGCAAAGTTTTGAGAGGCAGCAGCAGTTCACCCCCCATTGACTTCGGGATCAGGCACTAAAGAACCCCCCAGCCTGCATTTTGCAGCCTTCCACAGATGGGGGTCATGGGCAGTGCAGTGGTCTCATGCTGGCGCTGTCAGGCTGCTCTGTACAACAGCCCAACAGGGTGCAAGGGAACAAAATTTAAATTCCACGCCATGCACCACTAGGATTCAGTGCTGGTTTGAATCCCTGGTGAGAAGGAATGTTGGGATAGGGTAAAGATATCTGGGACTACAACACAACACTGTACGTTGGCCTCACGATTGAGACGTTTGGCATCTAGTTATACTGGTTTAGCGTGTTAGGAGTTGATCTGGTGAAATACACAGGAAAAAATCCTGTTCTATGAGCTCTGGACAGATATTCATCAGGTACTATTTAGCAAGAGGCTAGTAAAACTTATGGTTAAAGATTTTAAAATCATCAGCGTTAATGACTGTAACATTCAAGTTACAGAACTGACGCCAAGAGCCCATCAAAATATTTAAAACTTGGCAAATTATTCAAATAGACATTCAGGAAAGCCAAAAAAACATCTTCAGTATATGTAGTTTCCAGTCAACAGATAAAATTGTCTCCTCTGTGCTGCCTAATGGGAGAAGATTGTTACAGTGTTGATTTGAGAGTAATTTAAAAATATTTTGCTAATAAACAGTACAATGAAGTAGATGTGAGAGCAGCTTTGTGGTATTTTGCTGGGCAGAGTTAAATCACAACACCCTCAAAGTATGTCTTGACTGCAAAATACCAATCTCCCATCTGCCCCCTGATTGCATTCCTCGGCAGAATCTCATCTTCCGTAACAGAAGCATCTCTTCAACAAAACAGAGTGCTGAACAACCTTAGGCATTAAACAGTAAAGTCAGTTTAGAGACTTTTAAAAGTTAAAGTGTATTTGGTGGAAAAGCCTATGTCAATACTAAAAACTTACACATTTAAAGAAAAAAAATGGAGACAGATGATACAACAGAAACACAAACATGAAGACATCTAAAAGCTAGCATGAGAGCAACCTAAGACATTGCTCAAGGTCTGTTCCACTCAGAAAAAGCAAACTCCCTGACAGTTTACAGGTCTCAGTGGTAGAAGCCAAAGTACCAGCTAACAGCTTTTACAGTATCCACCATCACTCCAGATAAACATCATTTGGTCTCAGCACACATATGGAAAAACACTAATGTCAATCATGTTCCTTTTTTTCGGGGAAAGAAAAATGCTCTGGGACAAAGCAGTTAATTAGCTCAGAAAAAATTACAAGCACCAATGGACACAAAAAATTCCAACTTTCACAAGTCCTTCTAGAAAAAGCCATGGAAGACTAGAAGGATGACGACAGGAAACAATCCTAGAACACAGACCACAAAACTAAGCCTGCTCCTCTATTAGGAGAAGATGGCTATTTATATGGGATGGTTGTCATGCCCCAAATATTTATCAGGCTAATGAGTCCGGGACAGGATGGGGGGCTGGTGGTGGTGGAGGGTTAAAAAGAGGTTTTATGTTAGCCAACAGATGGGAAAACGAAAAAGTGGTTATTGAAACTCAGTCATAATGCAAACTACACAACTCAATTAATGAAAAATAGAAATGTAAACAAGTATTTGAGTGCTTTGCTTTGAGTTAGGATTAATAATATTTTATCCTGAAGATGGAAGGTGAATTTGTGTTCATCAACAGTCAAGTTAGAAGACCCCAAGATCTTGAAAAAGAGATTCACTTCCTCAGTATTTCAAAGTATTTCAAAGTTTCCTGCATTTTCCATGTGTCAAAGTTATGATTAACAGAAAGGTGAGTCAACACCATAACAGACTCTCAGGACTACATTTGCCCATAATCAACAGTAGGCAGTATAAAAACTTAAAGCCTAAATTGGTAACTAAAAATGTTACACCAAAACCATTGCTTTGACATAACATGGTAATAAGTACCCTTAATTTAATTTCTTATTTAATTCTCATTTCTTTAATTCCTTTAAGATTTATTTTAAAGACTAAAAAAAATTAATCCTGCTTTTTTTTCCTCACTGGTTCCAACAAGTAACCTTTATTTCCCACTAAATATCAGGATAAACAGGTAATCTGTTTAATTAGCTGCATTACGGCAATACGTTTAAAGCACAGTCATAACTAATGCCAAAAACCAACCCTTACACCTTAAATCACCTTTAAGGAGTTTTATCTAGCCTTACCATATAAGCAATATCACACCAAGAGCCCTAGCTGCTCTTTTGGAAATTAAATACTGCTGTGTAACATTTGAAGAAGGACAGCTAGGGGTTTCTGTTGAAAATCAGTTTCAAAACAGGGGGATGAACTTAGGACCTCAGAAAGAGCACAGGAAGAGTTTTGTTCAGATTAGCAACTGAATGCACCTACATTTTTGGAACTTGCAAAAGCTTGTGAAGAAATTGTCACTTACTCTGTGTGGCCCTGAAAGACATTCACAGAATGGATAGAAGGATCTCTGAAATCCCACAGACGGAAGGTTGTATCGCGTGATGATGTCACCACAAGACGCTGGGTGGGATGTGTACAACAATGTGTTAGCTCTTGGTCATGCCCTACAATCACAGATGAGAACGTGTAAGGTAATGAAAATAAGGCTTTTCATTTCCACATACACTTGGAATGAAATGCTGATGATTTTTCATTTGTTTCCCCAAAACAATAATAATAATCATTCTGAACTCTAACGTTACTCCTGCTGTAAAAATTTAGAACGACATTTAAAAGCAAAAAACCCACCACTCACTTCATGAGATTATTAAGTAGCGACAGGCTGTTGCTACTTAATGTCATGAACACAGCAAAACCATTTTGCAGGAAGGGAAGTTTGGCAACATTCAGTTTAAAAACAACTACTTCACAGGATATATCACAAGCTTAAGAGGACACAAACTCATGCTCAGAGGATTAACAAGGTTGGAATGTTAGAAACCATTACAAAATTGAGCAGCAGCTCAAGTACTGTACACACTCAAATCATACCCCAGAGAAACAACCTACTTTTCCCCAAGGTTTCAATATCTACACAATAATCCCACATATAAAACTAGCCCACCAATTTAGCTTTTTTGTGAGTGAACAAGTACCTGTAAGAGAATGGACAAGTTCGGAAGTCTCTACATCATACAGATTTGCTGTCCTGTCCCACGACGCTGTCACCGCTTGCTTCCCCCCCACAAGCCAGTCAGCTGCTATGACCACTCCCTGATGGCTTTTGAGTGAAGTTAACGGGGTTCTGACAGTGGGACAATCACTAGAACCTTCTCCATCTCCATCAGGTTCATCTTTGTCTGAGAACTCAACTTCATCTTCTCCAGACATTTGCTGTAAAACGCAAGAGAAACAAGATTTAGAATAAAAGGGAAGGAATGTCTTTAAGCTACATTTTACAGCTTAAAAGCTTCCCAATCCCTTTAATGTGGATGTGGGTAACTTAAATCTGTAGAATCTAGCCTATTCAGATATTCGTTATCAAAAACTTAGTTGAAGGGATAATACCAGTAAGTTAAATGCAGTTTTAATAACTACTTAATTTTAAAATCTCTTCTGAAGTGTTTAGCTCTGAGTTTCTGTCCCCTTTACTAGCAGGTAAGTCTTTTTATATTCCCCTTATCGTATTACCTTTGAGTTTCATTGCAGCACATATATCAAGGAAGATTTTTCCTTTACATTTTTAAAGGGCAGGAAGCATCTAACAGGACACAGACTATTTTAATCTTTGGGAAGACAATCATTTATAGACTTATTTTTATCCATCAAAATCATGACATCAATATTTGTCTGCTGGTTGCTACGCAGTCATCATGCAGTGCTGATGTAAACTGGATGCAAAATAAATTTTTGCTGACCATGAAGCATTGATCTCTGAACCCTACTGCACTTAAGCATGACAAATATGCTTTTCTTTCAAGATACTTGGATATGAAAAAGATAACATTTGTACTGCTCTTTCAAAATGGAAATGCCAAATCAAATAAACTGAATCAAACATTTTTCCATCCAGAAATCTATTTCATGTTATATAGCCATCTCTTGCCCCTACTCAGCTTTCTCAGAAGCTCATGCTATACACTGTTTGTCTTCATAACTTAGCAAGAGTGCTTTTAAGTGAAATACAGCATTTGACAGTCTGTAGTAAATACTGACTAAATAAAAGCTGGGGGACAACATCAGAGAACTGTCACGAGCACTGGCAAGAGCCAATTAGTAATCACTAATGATACAATTAAATAAATGCCAAAAATACAAGTCTTTACCATCAGTTTTCAATTCATACCAACTATAGCTAATACAGGTGCCTCAGTAAGTTAAGCTACAAGAATTTAATTTGTTTCAAGAGAACGTAATTATTATTTATTTGAATTATTACCAAAAAAGTTTACTCGACAGTTCATTTACTTCATTTATTACTGTGAACAAGAAGTCAACTAATGTACTTGCAGCTGCATATTCTATTCTGCACCACAGATCTTTGAAAACATGGAGTCTGTTTTGAAAGAAAGGCTGAGATACAGCTATTAAACTAAAACCTTAAAATCACACCTTTTAAAAAAACTATGTGATTTCAGGATTGCAATTATATACAAATTTATCATAAAACCTGGATCTGATGAAACTGCTGTGCAACTAGTTTAGTTGCAGTAAGTTGATTGCTTACATTGCAGTCTGCAGTTGGCTGAGGTGCAGGCAACTGTACTAAGTATCTCCAGATGTGAGCTGTCTGGTCTCCAGATGCTGCACAAGGAGAAGAAAGGTGAAAGAGGGAGAGAGACAGAGAGAAATTAAATAAGAGCATCTCCATGGACGATAAAAACCAACCTCAACATTACATTTAGCAATACTGTCTGAGTTGCATCTTTTTCTAACAGATACAGTAATGACCTTTTCAGGAAGGAAGTCAACATCAGTGGTTACTTTCCCTGCTTCAATACTGACAAGAACATAACTCATTGTGCAAAATATAAGTAGCTACCAAATCAATCATTCCTTCAGTGAAAACATACACTTAAATGCTACACATCAGAACACATGTATCACTGCTGTTCTGTTATTCAACATTTGAAGAAGGCATTTAATACATCAACAGGTGCCATCCTTCATTTGAAATTTCTCAGAATACCGGGGTGGTTCTTCCTTTAATGATTTCTTCCATTAAATGTTTTTAGCGTGGTTTTAATGAGAAACCCAAAAGAGTAAGTGTGAAGCTTTCATGCTTCTACCTTAAGCAACTCTGTTTTAACTAGCACCAGTTTACAGCTCAGCAGGTACCATCTGGTTTTAGACTTCATTTGGGTTTGAAACTAACACATTCATTATTAACTACGGAGAAATTCAAGATTCTTGTTGTTACGGACAGAACCAACACATTCTAATACTTATGGGTACAGTGCTGAGAGTTCTAGACAGAAGAAAAACGCTTTGCTAGGAGCATGCATAGATCTGGCAAGTGCAATGTACATGGAAGTACTAGGAAAAATAACTCATCTAGTAGACCAAGCAGGGAGGCAAGAAGGTCAACCTTGTATTATTTCTGGTGTCAGTATTCTGCATCAGGGAGGAAGATTTTTTATCTTAATCAGGTCTAAATCAATCAAGCGACACTGAAGAACAGGTTTCCTGAAAACTTTCAATGGAAACACTCTGCAGAATCACCTCCCAGAAAAATAACAGAATAGATATGGGCCGCTTGTGCTTGGTTTGGTTTTTACAAGTCAGTTTACACAGCAACATTGTTTATGGTACTGCAACAATGCCTACAGATAGCCTACAAAAACAGGAAAATCCGAACAGCCACAATTAAATCATTGTTAGCCTAGACAGAAGGTATGCTACTCCCTATCTTCCTTTAAAGTGGTCACTGTAGATGCAGAAATTAGTGTTTTAATTTCTAACCTCTCTAATAGTTATCCTTATTTTGCAATGACTTACCTAACAGCAGCAAATTGAATCCAGCTCCCTAATTCCAAAGCTAGTGCCCTAATTGCTGGACCATATGAACCATATTATTAACCACACGAGACAGTTTTCAAACCTGAAGCTGCACTGATGGTACTCTCAGTCGTGAAAACACCTTACACTAACAGTCATTTTCAAGCTGTTTTTTCTGCACATTCAATATCACAATGTTCTTTTTCTTTACTTCTGGAACTACCAGGTATTTCAAGAGGAACAGAGTATTTCATTTGGAAGGGACCTATAACAATCATCTAGCACAACTGTGTGACCACTTTCAGGGCTGACCAAAAGTTAAAGTATGTTACTAAGGGCATTATCCAAATACCTCTTAAACACTGGCAGTCTTGGGGCATCAACCACCTCTCTAGGAATCTTCTTCCAGTGTTTGACCACCCTCTTGGTAAAGAACTGCTTCTTAATGTCCAGTCTAAACCTCCTCTGACCCAGTTTTGAACTATTCCCACATGTCCTATCACTGGATACCAGGGAGAAGAGATCAGCATCTCCCTCTCCATTTCCCCTCCTCAGGAAGCTGCAGAGAGCAACAATGCTGCCTCTCAGCCTCCTTTTCTCCAAACTAGACAGCCCCAAAATCCTCATAGGGTCTTCCAGCCCTTTGATCAGCTTTGTTGCCATCCTCTGGATATATTTGAGGACCTTCACTTCCTTCTCAGATTGTGGCGCCCAGAACCACACAGAGTACTCAAGGTGAAGCCGCACCAACACTGAATGCAGTTGGATAATCACCTCTTTTAACTGGCTGGTTATACTGTGTTTGGTGCACCCCAGGATGCAGTCTGCCCTCTTGGCTGCCAGGCAATGCTGGCTCATATGGATCCTGCTGTCGACCAGCACCCTCAGATCCCTTTCTGTAGGGCTGCTCTCCAGCCAACTCCTCTCCCAGTTTATACTTGTGCCAGCATTAAACCATCCTAGGTGTAAAATCCAGCATTTGGACTTGTTAAATTTCATCCCATTAACCATAGCCCAATGCTCCAATCTATCTAGATCCCTCTGCAAGACATCTTGTCCCTCAAGAGAGTCAACGGCACCTCCCAGTTTGGTATCATCAGCAAACTTGCTAATCGTGCATCCCACTCCTGCATCCAGATTGTTGATAAATACATTGAACAGGCCTGGCCCCAGAATTGAATGCTGAGGAACACCACTGGTGACGGGTCGCCAGCCGGGGACAGCCCCATTCACCACAAACAACCCTTTCTGCTCTGCCCTTCAGCCAGTTCATCACCCAGCGCACTGTGAACACACTTCTCCCTCAGGAGGAAAACTTGTTCAGAAGGATGCTGTAAGGGACAGTATCCAAAGCCCTACTAAAATCCAGGAAAACTACATCCACTTCATCCACGAGGCAGGTAACCTTACCACAGTCCTATACCAAATTAGTTAAACAGGACTCTCCCTTTGTGAGCCTGGCTGTGCCTAGTGACTGCATTGTTCTTTAAATGCCTTTCAACAGTACCCAGTATAATCTTCATAATTTTCCAGAAGCCAAGGTTAGACTAACAGGTCTGTAGTTCCCTGGGTCTTCCCCTCATGCCCTTCTTGTAGACTGGAATAACACTGGCTAGCTTCCGGTCAGCAGGGACCTCCCCAGCCTCCCCAGACCTTCAGTAGATGATCGAGAAGGTTCCTGCCATAACACCCACCAGTCCCTTCAGTGCTCTCAGACCAATCTCATCAGGCCCCATGGACCTGCAAACATTGAGCTGATGTATGATTCCAACTGTGTTTTGGAGCAGGTAAACACAAATGACAGTGATATAACACATACAAAAGGAAAGATCTAGCTCTGATTTGTTATGCCTTAAAGTATAAAAACAGTTCAATCAACAGGGATACTGACAAAGCAGTAGGAAGAGGGGTTACAACCAAAAAGATGTTAGTGAGTGACACTTTTCCATCATGATTAACATACTCAGCATATGAAAAAAAAAAATCTACATACCTGTAAGAGCCACTTGCTCAGCTGGATGAAACTTTATGGAATTTACTGTAAATAAAAAAGTTTTAAGCTAGCACGCTAAAAGAATTATTTCACAATGTTTTATCATTAAAAGTACTGAAAAAAAAAAAAAGAAGAAATCTTCAGTTTTAAGTGATCTCTCTTAGGTGAGATAAAGCCCAATGTTATTTTATTTGAGTACATAAACCTATGTAGTATCTAAGAGAGCAACTATAGCTGATTATACAACAATACATATGTTTCTAGCAAGTTATTTCCTGAATCCAGTACAAGTGTTTCATGTTATAGTGGATAAACAAACCACAGTCAAATAATCCTGTGTAAGCTAACAGAATGAAATGCTCTCAACTTCCATAAAGAAAACTTAAATATTCATAACTATTTCTAACATAAGGAATAATCAGACAGTGGATATATATAGTCATACATAGTAAGCTTTCATTAAGATTGCAGGAATAAATGCCTAAAAACCTAATGTAAATAATACAAATCAGATTTCAGTCCTGCAATCATATGTGATCAATATGATTGTTTTAAAATAATCCTGCAAGAATTCTATCAGCCTATAAAGCTCTTCTTCATATTTTATTTCACTGCATAATATTCAATTACTTTTCATTACTAAGCACTTTCATATGCAAAATCCATATGGTTCTCCTCAACAGTTCTTCAAGAAATAACCTAGAAATCATTTCCATCCACCACACAAGTAAAACAGATGCTTATGTTGTCAGGAGAGTGTGGTGTGAATTATTCACACTGAACTAACTCAACTGTGCACCAACTGCTGGCCCTCAACACCTCTGCTCCAAAACAACTGTCAAACGTAATTAAATAAATTCTGTAATAAATGAAAAATAGATGAGTTTTAATACAATTCATATACATTTATATTATCTTTATAAAATCTAACGTATACACTTTTTTTTTTACTTAGTTTACATACAACTGTTTAAATACAGGTTAGAGCTTTTATTGTTTTCAGCTATCCAAATAGCAATTAAAAAAAAATATTGGCATGAAAATGCAAATTATTATAGTTTCTAAATGTGACTTTCTGGAGGCTAAAAGATACCCTCTCCATGCAGCAAGCAGCCTGAGATACCTCAACAAATTTAAGTGTTACCTGCTGTTTCTATGATCTATTTTCTAATGATCTATTACTATCTTTGTGCTGTAGGAGCTAGAAGTCATACAGCACGAAAAACCATGGAACTCACGGTTGCGGCAGCTGACCACTCTCTGGAGAACTTAATTCTATTTGTATCTTTGCTACAGAGTTCATGTGATGTGCTAGCTGAGTTACTTAACCAAACATACCAGGCCGATAACTGCATTCCTCACTTTCCTGGTGCATGACTCTACACTTCAGGGTACGATCATTCGAACTGCTCAACTCTCAACAGAAAGCTAGTTAAAAGCTATGGAAAACCCCTCCACCTTTGGTCTACAAAAATCCTATATTGTTAAATGTTATGGGACAGAAAGGGGCTAATCAGGTGCTTGTCAAATTGCACAACAAAAATTAAGGTCAAAAGTGATTACTGCACTCCTCCACCCAAGGAGGGGTTTAAAAAACATTGTTTCTGAAATATTCATACTGGTGCAGAGGGAAACAAATACCTACACTGAATTAACTGTCTTCAAAACAAGATTTTAATACTATGCAACAAAGTATATATGGGATCATCTATTAAATAAAGTAGTGCAAAAAAACCAGACACTCTGGATCTTGCATCCCACATGTAAAATGGATGCTGCAAAATAGCTAATTTCTGGTTATATAAGCTTCTCTTGCTCTGCATATGCATGAAACCTCAATGAGTTCTGATATTTAACTTCTGAATGTTGTAACTGTGCCTGTAAATTTCTTTATATGGACTTATTTATTCATTTAGCATTTACATAACTGTCTGGATACGCCTCTACTACAAAACATTTTGTCCAGGAAGATTCATGGAACTTGACAATGACTTGTTAATGGTGCTGGCAAACCTGCAAGTGAAATCACTGTAACTTTTTGTAATCGTCCAAAACACATTTCCCCCTCCCAAACACACTATTTCCAGTTTGCACAATCTGCCCTTACCTTACCTGATCCAACATGCCCTACATACTTGACAAGGCACTTCCCTGTTTCTATGCTCCACAGCAAAGCAGTGTGATCTACGAAGATTAAAAAGTAGTTGTAAATATAGTTACAAATTTATGGTTTTCACTTTTAACCGATTCAACAAACAAGTTATCTTCAAGTGTAGAGCATGCCATATGAAATAGACTTCAAATGTGTAACACACCAACTCCTCTTGATTATTACCTTATATATAAAATAAAAGTTTCCTATAATTATAACTTAAAATGGAACTCAAAAAAGTGAAGGGCCTGTCCCATTCAGATTAATCTGCAGTAAACACTGAAAGGCAAATTCTACTTCTGATATTTTTTCTAACTTGATTATATACTTATGTATAATGCTCCAACTGTGTATCAACAGATTGAGAAAGAACACAGAAAGCATTAGGCAGTCACTACAAACACGAGCTCTATGCACAAACTATTTACTTCCTGCACAGAAGTCCCAGATGCATTTAGGTCACTGCAGAGCCCTATGAAAACTTATTTTAAAAGGAAATCACGCCAAATGCCACTCCTTTACTCTGCCACACCCCAAAATAAATAATTAATATAAGCATTTGTAAGTGAGGAGAACCTTAGTGCTGAATTGAAGAATGATGAGATATCCCAAATACAGATAAATTGTGCCCCTCAGTGGACACAAAAATGGCAACAATTCAGTTTACGAAGCAGGGGTTTCTGGTCCACAATATTCATGTACTGCAAGTGATTTCAGATCCTGTTCCAGTTTCAAAAGATGGTCAGTTGAAACTGACCAATTTTAACTAGTCATGGTTTATTTCCCTAATAATTTTCCAATTCCACACAAGCCTCGAGATTGATTTTTGGATCATAGTAAATTTAGTGACTTACTCATTAGTACCTTTTCTCTCTCTTAAGTAGAGAGGAAAGAATCCAGGAAGCTATATAAGATCTGGAAATTAGGATTTTTAGTTGCCCCTAGATCCTTAGGCAAAAGCAGATGAATGTAAGAATACAAGAACATGCCAACTATGAATAAGTTTGCAGCTTCTATAAAACTAAGGCTAATCAATGCTACACAGTAGAAAGTCTGCAGGAATCTGTGTATACAGTAGTACAGTATTCTGTGCTAGAGACACCCCCCAGGCAGGCAGTTCCCCAACCCACCCATTTACACCATCCGACAGGCTAGAAATGACCCTAAGAGCAGCATGACCTGCAAAGAAGGTAGCTGGCACATAGCACAGACGATCAACAAGGACACCTGACCCTTCTACAGCTTAAATGCATTTCAAGAAAACTCCAGTTTAAGAGTTTTCCAGCTACTGAACTTATTTCAATAATCTGTTTCAGTGTGGAGCTAAGTATTCAAGTATGCTTTTGATCTGCATTTGCTAGAGTTTAGGGACTACACCACAATTTTCTAAAGATGCAAGCAACACAAAACTTTACCAGCAGATGCAGTTCCCAACACCACTGGTTGAGTTTTCGCGACACTGACATCCCAAATACCATCCCTGTGGCCAACATATTCCTTTACCAGTTGACAGATTGCCCTTGATGTTGTAGTTTTAAAACTGGATACAATCTGAAATAGCAGAGACACCAACATATTTTTTTCCACATTGACCCAAGATTAAATAATAATCTCACAAATATAAATAGATACTATTTCATAGTGGTTCTTCAGCGTTCTGACAGTTCACTGGTGTCAGAAGTTTGACATTTGATGGTAGGAAATGAGTTTGGATGAAAACATACCTCTTGATTTCTTTTTCTCTTTTTTCTTTTTTTAATAACACCCCCCCCTTTTACGTAACACAAAATAAACTATTCTGCGCTACAGTAACCCAATCTCATTTGAGCAGTGAGCTGTACAAATGCAGCGTGCACTTCCCATTCAGTTTGGGCAAAGGATTATAATTTAAAACAGTAAGAAACTTTAAAACTTTCCTTGCCTATTCCCAAACAAGTATGTTTGATAACATAAAAACAGTCCATGTTATGGACTAGTGTAATGTCTTTGGAAAAAAAAAAAATATGGACTTATTACGTAACTCCAGTAAAATCCAGAAACATTCCCATTTAAAACGTTCACTGCTGATTTTCTTCAAAACTGCACAAACTTAAATCAAACATTAAAACCTGAGAGCATATGCCAGTTGGTGTAATAAAGTTTTGTTGGCTGGTGGTTTTTTTTAAGATACGTCAAATTAATCTAAATATCTGATATGCACATTCCTTCAAAGCCAATGCTATTAGGGGAAAACAGAGAAGACTCATTACATCCAAATTAGTATGTGTGTAAGTAATACCGAATGAAAGGAAGAAAAAGCATAGCAAAAAAGGTAAAACTAGAAGGCAGTGCAGGAAGGCTGAAAAGACTCAGTGTCTACAGAAAGGAACCAAATAGCAGGCGTTCTACATTTTCAGATACTATATTTTTCAAAGTTTGTCTTGCTGGAACACTTCCAGAGACAACTGAAATCAAGAGTGGTGAAAGATAAATTCAAAAAAGCAAAACCACTGTTAAAAATACCCTATTTTTACCCCAAAAGTCTTGATGCTCATAACTGCTCTTTGAGAAAGACTACCTGAAAAGCCTTGTTAAAACTGAAACAAAAAGACAACTTCAATTCATCAGTGTTTTCTTCTGCATGCAGTTATGGGCAGGTATCTATCTGACCACTTAAGTCAAAACCTTTAAATGCTTCAACACTAATCACATTAAGACTTATCTACAGCTTAGTAGAAGTTAGAAAATTAATTAAGTCTACATTTCAGATAGAATAAACTAACGTTAAAATCCCATTAGTTTTTGGTATCAAAAAAGGTGTTCTTCAGTATGTCAGTAAAGCAAATTACTTCCAAAGGGATTTTTAAAGAATATCTACAAAAGCATTACAAATCCTGAGCATGTCAACTTTCCAATGATGAAATGATAATGCCCTATCTGAATTCCAAATTAACAGCTAATATGCGCGTTTCTGTTTCACAGCAGAAGGAATAATCATTAAGGATGCATTGAAAAGAAAATGGGTTAATGGTGAAGATTATTAGTTACAGAATCATAGAATGGTTTGGGTTGGAAGGGACCTTAAAGATCATCTAGTTCCAACCTTCCAACCACCTTTGTCTGTCCTCTTTCTTAAATCCATATAGTTCCATGTACTTCCTTCTTCATAGAGATTTGTTAATAAGGACACAAATGTTTACCATGTAAACAATTGAAAACCAAATACAAATTGAAACAATTGAATGACAAATTGAAACTCCCTGTGAAAATGTCCTCTTAAGAACACATGAGAAATAAGAATGAAAACTTGATCAACTGAGGACCAGTTCAGCAGCATTACACTGCAACTGGTGAATGGAATTTCCTGTGGAGCAACATTAAGCAGTGAGGTCAGAAAATATATCTTCCAAGAAGTTTTTCTGTTATTCCCTTCAACTGCTCAGTAAAAAAATACCTTCCTTTAAGAGTCCTTTTCCTGAACCAAAAGAATCAGAGATGCTGGTAATTAGTCTATGGTGAAGCGAGTTATATCATTTCAGTTTATTTTAGGACTCTGCATAAATTGTTAATGTTTTCCTGATGTCTTAATAACTGTCACAGCCAGGGTTTGTTAACACAGCAATGCCATCCTGTTAACATCAAAACATGAATTTCATGTAGCGATTCCTGCATTTACAAACAACTGCAGTTGTATTACAGGTTCTTGTCCATTAACATATATAAAAAAACTATTTGTAGAGTACCAAGCACTACATCTACTCCCTCTCTTCAGGATTAAGGCACTGGTAGATAACCCCTGCTGCTAAAAGCATCCTTTTCTGATACTAGTTTTGCCAACTTAACATTCAGACTTCGACCTAACTCAGCTAAGGGATGAAAAGTATCCCAGTATGGGAATTTTCTCTGAAGGATTCAAATTAAGCACATTTGCCTCAGCATTTTCCCCAAGAAAATTAAAAGATTGCATTAGTCTTAGCATGTTTTACCAGTATTAAAGCAGCCAAGGATCAGCTTTCTCATTAGAACAAACAAATATTGAAAACTCTTTTCAGAACAGACATAAACTCTTTGTGTAATTACACAAAACGTTTGGTTTGTAAAACTTAAGTTTCTTCTAATTTCCGATGGTGGTGGGGCGGGGAGACTTCTGACAAGTTTTAGATTAGGCATACAGTAACAGTATAAAGGATGGGCTGAAGAAAAAAAAACCTGCAATCCACTACCCCGCTGAGTTTGGAACACAACCCATTTTTGGTGAGCAGCAGCATTCATTCAATGCTCCAAAAAACACAGGCATAAGAATTTCAAAGCTGCTGACCTCTTAAAAGTCTTCAAATGTCATTTCCTAGATCAGGCGTTAGGGAACTCTAACTGCATCCAGTCAGGATAGACAGAAAGATCATAGTTTATAAGAAACTTAGTTACAGCCTTTCCTGATCTGTTTCACCACACTATTCTTACTCTCAAGCTTTCAGACTACTTAACAGATGGCATTTCCAGGACACCTAACAGTCATGCCATAACCACATCAGCCTGCAGTACAGGTCATCACAGGGCTGCTTATACAGTCAGTTCAAGTACCGGATTCCACTGAGGTTTCTTCACATCTCACCCATAATAATGTATCATGAAATGACCCTCAGGAAGGGCAAAAAGAGTAGCAGGTAAACTCTCTATGAAAACTGCAAAAGGGAAGAGAAACAGGCAAACAAAAATGCCAGACAGATGCAGATGTGCAAAATGAAAAATATGGGAACAGGTAACTGCTAGGAGACCAGGCCAAAAAAGATCAGTAGCTACTCATCTGAAAGGCTTGCAGCATAAAGGAAAAACTTCCCTAGACTCATAGCTAAAAAAGAAAAATCATTAAAAAAAAAAGCCAACCCATAACAGTACACATACAGATGCCTACTTAAATCCCCATTTCAACTGCAATACCCAAATCTTCATTCAGAAATTCACTACCTACTAGTTCTCTGCTTGCCCTCATGAAATTAAGGGGTTTTTTAGTTCTCTTTACAAAAGAGTAATCCCACATACACAAGTGTGCACACACTCACTCCCCTCCAAAATTCTTTCTTTAAAATAGGTGAGCAATTATTGCAAAAATGTCATACAGTGTGGCTGAAGTAATAGGTAATTGATGAAGCCAAGACAAACATGCTGTTACTCCCAAGGCAGATTTACCTACAGAACTCAAGTTGTAAGTTGTGATTTCTTTAAAGACAGCCACCTTAGTCTCATGAGTACACACTGAAAAGCAGAGGTTTAATTTGTCTCATACCTTGCTAGTAGATGCCTTGTAAGTTGTCTTTAATTTCTGAGAGAGCTGACTGGTACTATGACTGGCTGTTGGGACAAATTCAAAGGAAGATTATTTTATATCCAGCATATTATACATACTTACTTGTATAAATAAGTGGTATTAATTCCCTTCAATCAGATTCTAAGTTTTGGCCAGCAAAGTACACAAAAATATTCAAATATACTAGCTTGGGATTCTTTGTGGTTCTCTTACCTTTTGTTTTCAGTTGCCCTTTGCTCAGTTCAGCTCCATCAATTGTCTGTCCTTCAGCTGCTAAACGCTCATTCAGAGTGTCAATCTCTCTGCGTACTAACAAACCAAAAATTCACATTAATATTAAAAAAAACCAAACACATTAACAACGTCATTAACATACTATTTAAGATTCATTATGCTTATCTGTTTTATGATAAGGACAGGAAAACAGATCAACTGTGATTTTATAAAAGCAGGTCTCACCAAGCCATAAACCAAGACTCATGCTGAATTTTCCAGAGACCAACCTTGACCCAGATTCCAAGGAAAGTATTAGTGACTTCGAATTACTGTTACTTTTACTAATAAATGTGGCTAAGGATTACCAAAACAGCTTCTGTGAAATACACAGCACACCTATGCTGAAGTAAATCCAACAGACGTCAAAAAAGTTGAGAATTGTCACTATTTCGGCCACGGAATTAGTATGTCATTTCTTGACAAAGATTTATTAATCACAAAATAGTTCTCCCCTGACTGCTTCTTGGCTGTTAGTTTCAGTAAGAAAGGTGATGCAGCAAATATATGGGGTTTATACTTTGAAATACATTAAGAAAATGTAGAATGACACACATTCTACATTCATATGTTCTAGAAACACTAAATATGACCAAAATATTTTCATCGCACACCAGACAAAGCATGTATTTGTAACAAGAATGTGCTTTCCTATCCATTTCAACACAAGACAGTGATGGCAAAGCTAAAACTAATCAGGCACTCGTAAATCATTCCCAGTGGCTGGGCTGGACTAAAGCTGCTCAACTTCATTTTATTAAGAATGTTTTCAGTGGCTTACAGGTTTTTTTCCCTCAAAATCTAGGCTGATATTCTTTAGGTGTACTTCTCAGGGGAAATGTTATTGAGAGGCTTTAACCAAGCAGTTTTTCACTGATCTTGAGAGTAAGTCTAGGCCTGTCTTTCCACAAATTCTTAGGACTCCTTTGAAAAAAGTCGTTCACTCCAGGCTTTAAAATGTGAGAGAAATGACACATCAGGAGTATGATTCTTGCCATTTCTGAGAAATCACTTAAGTCTCAGTTCTAAGAACCAGAAAAGTCAGTCTACACTTCCATACCACATCCAAGTGCTTGAAATGAGCAGAGCAAGATTCTTTCCTGTGTTCCCAGTCACGTAAACCTAAGTGTTATAAAACACAGACAATATGAAAGAAGTAAACAAAGGAGCAGGCTTGTAGTAACAGATGACTGAGACAAACAAACCAGGCAGATACAAGAATTGCCTGAAAGGATTAAGACTGAAGCCTGGAAGGGATAAGAAAAGGAATAAACAAGAAATAGGTTGTAATAAGGGAAAGGGAGCATAAGAAAAGACAGGGAGGAAAAAACTGAGACTCTCTATGTACAGTAATTGCAACACTAGTGTAGGCATTAGTCCAGGAACAAAACATAATGGACTGAGCACCAGAAGTGAAAAATTTAGAAATTGGCCAGGGGGGGGGATGGCGTGGAAAGAGACCACAAGGGCCTGGAGTGAACTAAACTGCGTGGAAAAAAAGAAGAACAAACAGAAGAGGAATGGAAGGAAAGTAATCATACTCTGGAGGGTACAGACAAATTCAGCACGTTTGCTGACGAACGATTTCTGAAGGCTGGGGAGGGAAACCCTACTTTTCTTGCTAGCAGATAACTTCTCAGCAAGAGGCTGAGAACTCAGTTGTGTCAATTGTCACTAACACACGTGTAGTGCTGATGATAGCCTTTAACCAACACAGTCTCAGGTTTTAAGACAATAAAAAACCAGCACATTTTCAAAAAGCACACATGAACATTTTTTTAACATGAGTGTTTGGTTTAACTGTGGGAACAGATTAGGTGTGGAAAAAAATTTGACTTGGAGCCAAAACAGACAGATTCCACAATTCAGAAGCCAAATGACGTAACACAGCTTCCAAACTCCAGCAAGGAAAATTGTGCCGAGGCTTTACTTTATGACTGCCCATTTTCCTTACTGTGGATCCTCTTACACTGCCACACTAATGCACTGCCATTAAACAAACATTTTTTGCAGTAACACCTGGAATTTTTATCTCAGTGCTCGACTTCAAAATTCCTATGAGGAGTGCTGGAGCTGGTCATGCAATGAACTAGGTAGTATGATCTAAACCCACCACATTCTACACTTTTTCAAGTAAGACACTTACCCAGGTTTATTTACTAGTATTACATCATTAAAATTAAATCTGTAAATACACAGCAGAGCCACAAACTTCAATGGCTGAATGGAGTTGGTGCCAGCTTAACAGGGTATATACCAAAGCCTACAAGGCCAAGGAGACAGCCACTTCACTTTCTTTGCCTAAGAGCCAAGGAGGATGACACACAGCAGTTCTCACTACTTAGGTCAAATGGCTCGGAAAGTGATTTTCCTGCAAAAGTACCAGCTCCATCGTTGGATACAAGTTCAAAAAACTCTTCAACTCCTCACAGAAGAGCTAGGCTAATTACACCACAGCATCCAAGGTGTCCCAATTAGCACTACTATATCCTAAAACCAAACAACTCCTAAGTTTTTTGCTGGAAAAAACAGATACTCACATTCCAAATTTTCAATATACAGGTTTTCAAACTCCCGCTCTATTTGTCCAAAAAGTTCAAGGAGTGTGTTCCGGACAGAAGATGGTAATTTAGAATCCTAGGAGGCAAAATATCAACGTTTTTATTTTTCTTTACACACATTTTATGTAGTTACCCTTCAATCTTAAATTGACTTTTAAGAGTTCTCTCCATCTCCTGGTGGAGGGAAATTAAAACTACTAGTAGTGTAGAACAAAAAACAGTCAGCTTCATCTTACATACTCTTTCAAGGGATGGAATTCAAATCACATGTGGGTTTTTTGGTTTTATAATTTTTCTCTAGTAAAACCAAAGTTATGTGTACAACTCAGTAAAAAAAAAAAAAAAGGTGGAAAAAAAATTTACAGTGTAATGTCAAGGTGCTTCCAGCTCAAGAAGGAGGAATACCTTTGGTTAACAAAGCAATTTGGAAGCTGACTGTGCATTAGGTCAGGAAGTTGTCATCACAAAGCACCTTACTACCACAGCTTCAGACAAACTGACCTTTTAAATATATTTTTAACATTTACCTACTTTTGTCACTAACCATAACTAAATGCGAATAAAACTGTAATTTCTAGTTCTTCCCTCCCCAAATATTATTCAAGCATCTCCTCTTCAAAGAAAGTATTCTGAAGCAAATTCACATAGGAGAGCTTTTTTCTTCAGCATAATCAACAGAGCAATTGCGAGGCACAAACCCCAGTATGTAATAAATCCACCAACGGAGGATTTATATGATACGAGCTCAATACACAACTTGACCACAAGTTGGCAAGTTACTTAAATTTCATTCATCTGCCTATAAAACAGAGATCAGCACCATATTCTTCTTGAATATATATCATATTGAATCTTCTTGAATATATACCATATTCTTCCTCAACATATACCATATCCAAAACAAGTAAGTATGAATTTCTGTTAGGAGTCAAGGTTCTCCTTGTATCAATGACTCCGTTATCAAACACTGTTGAGCAGACGGTGAGTAAAGCAGAAGACAACGGTCTGCAGTACACTGAGAACCTAGTACTAACAAACATTGTAAAATTTAAAGCACATCATGCTACTAAAAAAATGGCAAATTAGAAAGGAGAAAATACTGTCATTAGTCTAATCTCTATAATCAATCACTACAAGTATGGATCAAAGAATGAACTGCCCTTGCTCACTACACAAATAGATTCTACTAAGCCTGTTCTATTGTTCCGTTGCTACTGGGCCACAATATGTAAGCTGGCTTACTGCATTTATTATTTATCTAGTTAGACGGCTGTAAACTTTATTTTGAAAGAAGTTTGCACTTAACTGAGCCTTACCCTAACAATGAAAAAGCTTAACTACTCCTTTGGAGCATATCTAACCCATCCTCTCAGACTTCAGGAAGACATCTTATTACTGGACAAACCTGTAAATAATGCAGCAGTACTGAGAAACTGAGAAATGCATATGCAAGGAAATAAGTTACCAAATTTCAAAGCGAAATGGATGTGGTGTCATGTATGCCATATTATCAATGTATCAATGTTCATCTATCAAACATAGAAGGATGTGCTCATCAGCAAAATCGACTTTTTTTTTTTTAACCAAAACACAAGTATGTAATTTCAAACTCCTGAAATCAACAGCTATGAGAAAAAAAAAAACAAAACAAGTCAGCTTCTGCTGCAGCACACCACCGGTTCCAGGTCTAGAAGCACACAAGCAACATTACCAGAGTGGGAGTACATATGTTAGCACAGGACATCACCCACATTGGCGCAAACTTCATTTTTCAACACAAGTTTAAGGATGATTATAGCTTGTTTTGTTCTTAAGTGTTGCAGCAAACCCAAACCAAAATAAATTGGTTCCATTCCTATAAACAGACTGAATTAGGAGGAAGTATGTGTGTACTAGACATCAGAGGGCAGCATGTACCTTCCACCAAGCCAGCATCTTAACAACCAGAATTTAATCTCACTCACGTTTTGCTTCATACAGTCAAGACTACTGACTTCAGGAACAATTAGAAAAGCCTGCCATGATCCTGACTTAAGTTATTTCTGAACACCAACTTTAAAGACAAAAGCGAGAGAAATCACTAATACCCATGACACAGAGCACATCTGCTTCGCACACAGTTCAGTTTTACACCCGTTTCACAGCTACTTTAAGCTGTGGCACTGTGCTGAAACTGGCTCTGTGCTGCAAGAAATGGTCAGACAGTCCTTCTTTCTGTTCATGCATTCAGTCAAGCAGAACGTGAAACAGGTCCCTATTAAAACCAACCTGAAACAAAATTAATTAAAAATAATACTGTACAAATGAAACACTATTAAGAGAAACACTGAAGTTAGAAGAATTATTTCTGATTCAATTACCCAATAATTCTATACAACAAGGTGGTCTGGTTTAACCCAACAGGCAGCTAACCACCACAGAGTCATTCGTTCACTGCCCCCCTGCAGCGGGATGGGGGAGTAAATCAGAAAAAAGGCAAAACTCATGGGTTGAGTTAAAGACAGTTTAACAGGACAAAAAAGGAAGGGAAAATAACAATAATAATAATGATGAGAAAAGAATATACAAAACAAGTAATGCACAATGCAATTGCTCACCACCCACTGAACGATGCCCAGCCAGTTCCAAACAGCAGCCTATGCTCCCTGGCCAACTCCCCCCAGTTTATATGTTCAGCATAATGTCATACGGTATGGAATATCCCTTTAGTCAGCTGGGGTCAGTTGTCCCAGCTGTGTCTCCTCCCAGTATCTCATGCCCCCCACTCCCCAGCCTCCTCACTGGCATGGCAGGGCGAGAAGCAGAAAAGTCCATGACTTTGTGTAAGCACTGCTCAGCAACAACTAAAATATCAGTGTGTTAATCAACATTATTCTCATCCCAAATCCGAAACAGAGCACTATATCAGCTACTAGAAAGAGAATCAACTCTGTGTCAGCTGAAACCAGGACAGAAGGTTATGAAAGAATCTAAGTTATCCTACAACTTTCAAGACAGAAAAGGAGATGGAGGAAAGGTTTTCAATCCACTTCTCAGAACATGAAAACATAAGCAAATCTAAACCTGTCCTAAAATAACCAACACATTGTAAGACACATCCACTTCTTTTGCTCACTTTAAAGTTGGCATTATTTAAAATTAGCTTATTAAAATACCATCCAATAATGTTATCTGTTTATCTGCAGAAGTTCTTATGTAGATTTCATGCGGTTTAAAGCCCCACTGTGAAAGCGCATTAACATCCTATTCGTTAGAGTCTGCCACTTACTGTTAAAGGTAAAGGCTCAACAAAATTAAAGATGATACATAAAACATTTAGAACATTTACATATTATGGCATAATATACTTAGAGTTCGATAAACATGAAAACAGCTTAAAAATTTGGTTTTCTACTTTATTGGGTTTGCGTGGCAAGGTGTTGGTGGGGAGGGGACTACAGGGGTGGCTTCTGTGAAAAGCTGCTAGAAGCCTCCCTATGTCTGACAGAGCCAATGCCAGCCAGCTCCAAGACAGACCCACTGCTGGCCAAGGCTGAGCCCATCAGTAGCAGTCATAGCACCTCTGTTTCAACACGTTTAAGAAAGGGGAGAGGAGAAATTGCAGGCAGAGAAAGAGCAAGATGAGAGAGGAACAGCCCTGCTGACTCCAAGGTCAGTGGAGAAAGTGGGGCAGGAGGTGCTCCAGGTGCTGGAGCAGAGATTCCCCAGCAGCCCATGGTGCAGCCCATGGTGAGGCCGGCTGTGCACTGCAGCCATGGAGGGTCATGTGGGGGGGGCACAGACCCACCTGCAGCCCAGGGAGGACCCCATGCCACAGCAGGGAGATGCCCAAAGGAGGCTGTGACCGACCCTGTGGGCAGCCCAGGCTGGAGCAGGCTCCTGGCAGGAGCTGTGGCCCCATGGAGAGAGGAGCCCAGGCTGGAGCAGGTCTGCTGGCCGGACTTGTGACCCCAGGGGGACCCAGGCTGGTGCAGGCGGCTCCTGAAGGATGGCCCCCCAATGGGAGGGGCTCACACTGGAAGCGGTCATTACCCCTGGGAAGGGCTCATGTTGGAGAAGTTGGTAGAGAACTGTCTCCCATGGGAGAGACCCCACACTGGAGCAGGGGTGATTGGTAATTGCTGAATAATCTTTCCCTGTCCTTATCTCAACCCATGAGGTTTTCATTACATTCTCTCTCCCCTGTCTAGCTGAAGAGGGGGCGTGATAGAGAGGCTCTGGTGGGCACCTGGCCACAATTACACAGAAGTGACAACATGCCTTGAGCTCTCAGCTGCCCTTCCCTCCTCTCCTGTAATAAGGCTGTAATAGTACAAATGCATTAAGAGTTTGCTATCCAAGTACTTACATTCTCCAACTTCTAGATGACTACAAGCAACAACTTGGGCTCAGTTCCCAGAAAACTAACGCTATATGTAAACAGATTCAATTAAAAAAAAAGAAATCCGTCACAAGACTGAGAAAACACTAGGTTTTCCCTTCAGAGCATGTGCAGAGTCCAGCAAGTGAGGTTTCTCATAGCCAAACACCGTCAGTATTCCAAACCACCTTTGGTAAAAACCAAGTTTTGCATCATCTTTGACAGGCCCGCATTAACATCGCATATTCAATCTGACAGCAGATAGCAGTTTGAAAACTATCTGCTTATCTTTGGCAGCACTTCTTCAAATATTTCCTGTCAGAGGAGCCTTACCTACAGTTAATGTTGTCAGGTGATGCACTCCAAGTGGCTCCAGATTGCGTCCACTACACAGACCGAGATGATTAAAAAACTTAGAGAAGTTTGTGGTTGTTCTCTTTC